CGGTCAGGGTGTAGAGACTCGACCCCGGCCGACGTGAGAACGTGGCCAGGTGTCGGCCTGTGCGAGCCTCCGTACAGTGGGTCACCCTCTGACGTGCAGGAGTGAACTGGTGAACACCCCCATCCTGCAGGTCCGCTCCACTCACCAAGTTCGTAGAGAACGAGGGAAGGTACAGACCCGACAGGGTGCCCGAAGGGGCAGCCGGACACGGGAGGACAGTGGAGAAGTGAGACAGGACAGGACCCCCAGAGGGGTCAGCAAGGGAGACCGCAACCGGCCTGGCGAGCGGCGTAAGGGTAGTGCGGTCTCGAAAGAAGGAGCGAGAAGCTCCGGAGTCAAGTGTGAAAGTGAGGGAGGACGAGGACGACTCAGTACCTGAGAGCGCAGTCTCACCAGTACCTGAGAGCGCAGACGCACTGGCACCTAGAGCAGCAGCCTCACAAGCACCTAGCGCAGCAGTACCAATGCCCGGGTCGGGCTGAAAACACCGGTAACCCTCATTCTCCTCACTATAATCCACAACATACATAGCAGTAAGGATAGCATCAAAATCAAGATCAAAGATCGCTACACCAGCCCTGAGAAGCTCATCCCAGCGAGGGATCTCACTAGCCCCAGGGAACTGCTGACGCCAAGCGTCCGTCAGGCGGCCAAAGCAGCGCTGGGTGGCGTGGGCACCCCCACACTGCTCACCCGCGCGGTCGCCGGAACGAAGAACGTAGGTGCAGGGACCAGTACCCCCACCCCTCTGACGCCCAGCGTACCACTCACGAAGCTGCTGAGGCGAAGGGATGTCCCGCAAGCGCTGCTGCTGCTGCCGGTGCGAGCGCTGGCCACCACCACCGCCGCTACGCTGCTGGGTACCACCCCGACCAGCTCCACCTCCTCCACCACTACTGCCTCCTCCGCTGCCGCCTCCACTGCCTCCACCTCCGCCGCCTCCACCTCCGCCACTGCCTCCACCACCACCGCTGGCACCACCACCACCGTCTCCGCCGCTGCTGCCGCCACCACCACCACCACCCCCGCCACTAGCCCCGCCGCCACCCCCACTCCCTCCGCCGCCACCGCCGCCACCGCCACCGCCCCCTCCAGCTCCACCCGCGCCCTTGCCCCCCTTGCCCTTGCTGGAGCGACGTCTCCCACTAGGGGCAGACGCCGCGCCGACCGACTCAAGACCAAGCAGGTCGGCAGCAGCAGCAGAGGCAACAGAGGGCAGCAAGGGGGAAGGAGAGCACCCCTCAAAGATGGGGGTGCGAGGGTCACCACGAGAAGCACCTACAGCGACTATGCTCTTCTCCGCTGCAAGGAGGGCCTTCTCGAGGAGGTCGACGGTGAGAGTGGTGGGACAGACTGCGAGAAAGTGGTCCCTGACGACACGAAGGGAGTCAGGGAGGCGTGCGACTACGTAGTAGAGAGCGATGTACATGGGGGGGGGGTTCTTAGCGCAGAACTCAGCAGGAAGGGCGGCGCGGTAGCGAGTGTCACTAGTGCGGAGGTGCGTAATGAGGTCAGCGACAGTGGGAAAGGCAGAGAGGTCAGGAAAGAGGTAGGGAAGCATGAGACGGCTCAGTGCAGCAGTGGCAGGGGAGGAGTAGCGCGCAACTACAGCGTCGTACAAGGTCTGAGCACTCTTGTACTGACTAAAGTGCGCACGCTCAGAGGTAGGGAGGTGGCGACGCACAGCAAGACGTGCAGCAGCATCGCGGGTGGCCCACTTAGAGCGGACAGCGGGATCAGCATCAGCAGCAGGGGCAGGAGAGGCGCCAGAGGTGAGGTCAAAGAGAGAAAGGTCGTCAGCCCTGTCGCACTGTAAGAACAGCTGCAGGTCGTCTAACCAGACCTCAAAATCAATGGCGCGACCCTCAGCGTCAAAAGCTAGGACACTAGGGGTAGCCATGACGACGACGACTGTGCTCACCAGGCAGGGCAGGTCGCGCAGCTCGACAGAAAAGCAGAACGGCGACCGGGCGGCTCAGGTGTACAGCGGCTCGGCTCCCGGGCGGCTCGGCGGCAGGGCGGCTCGGGTGCAGGGCGGCTCGGCTCCCGGGCGGCTCGGCTGCAGGGCGGCTCGGGTGCAGGGCGGCTCGGCTGCAGGGCGGCTCGGGTCCCGGGCGGCTCGGCTGCAGGGCGGCTCGGCTGCAGGGCGGCTCGGGTCCCGGGCGGCTCGGCTCCCGGGCGGCTCGGCTGCAGGGCGGCTCGGGTCCCGGGCGGCTCGGTGACAGGCGGCTCGGGTCGCGTAGAAGTGAGACGGGGCGGGGCCGCGTCAGGGCCGGCGGTAGGGCCGCGTAGGAGCCGGGGCAGGGCCGCGAAGGAGCCGGGGCGGGGCTGTGATAGGAGCCGGGGCAGGGCCGCGTAGGAGGCCGGCGGTGTGGCCGCGTAAGGGCCGCGTAAGGGCCGCGTAAGGGGCAGGTGCGGGGCCGCGTAAGGGCCGCGTAGGAGCCGGCGCGGAGCCGCGTAGTGGCCGGGGACGGGGCCACGAAAGGGCCGGGGCTGGGCCGCGTAAGGAGCCGGCGGCGTGGCCGCGTAAGGGCCGCGTAAGGGCCGCGTAAGGGGCCGGCGCGTAAGGGCCGCGTAAGGGCCGGGGCGGGGCCGCGTAAGGGCCGCGTAAGGGCCGCGACAGAGTGGGCGGCGAGGCCGCAGAGGAGAGAGCGACTCGAGGGGTCGCTAAAAAAAAAAATTCGCGCCTCGGGGGCGCGCTTCGGTGGGCCCAAAAATTTCGGTCCTGGAGGGACCTAGCTCTATACCATGTGAAAAGAGTAAGCAGGAATGAATGAACTATGAATGAAAGCAGTACAAATATGAAACCCTAACTGGGTTGTACCCCCTATGGGATACCCCACTACAGCCTACACAGCAGCATAAGCTATAGATATGTTCTGACATGAAATGCTCGCGATCGTGCATGCGTTCAAAGTGTGGCACTGCTACTTGACCGGCGCAGACGTGACAGTACGGACAGACCATCGATCCCTACGGTACCTCCGTGCACAGCCCCACCTCAACCCACGACAGATTCGGTGGCTCGATTTCCTCGAGTCAAATTTCCATTATACGGTCACATATAAAAAAGGAGCCTCGAATATCGCCGACGCACTAACCCGCCCCACTGCCCAGATCCATGCGATACTACTCGCCCAGACCAGCCCGCTACTGACAGGACTATTTACCCACGGATATCAAACAAATCCATTCTTCACAGGAGGCAACTCGCAGCAATTTGCAGCAGCCAAGGGAGTCTATTACGTAAAAACTGGAACCGACCGCATCTGGGTACCAGGGTACACACTACTACGGGAATTACTGTTATAGGAGGCACACGACGGAGTTACCTCGGGACATTTCGGAGTAGAGAAAACACGGCAGCAGCTGCAGCGGTATTATTACTGGCCCGAAATGTTGACCGACGTGCAGTGACACGTGGCATCGTGTCCCACTTGCCAGATCATAAAGTCAACCCGGAAGCGGCCGGCGGGACAATTGCAACCAATCCCACCTCCAGAGCGTGCTTGGCAGCAAGTGACGATGGACTTCGTCACGGGGTTACCGGCCGGGGCGAGTGGGAATGACGCGATCCTGGTCGTCGTCGATCGACTGACGAAAATGGCACACTTCGCAGCCTGCAAGAAATCAATCACAGCCGAAGAAACAGCCCGCCTCTTCATCTCTACTGTCGTTCGACTACACGGGATACCAATATCAATCATCAGCGACAGAGACACGAAGTTTACTAGCAACTTCTGGCGGAACCTGTGGCAGCAGTTCGGCACGCGCCTACAGTTCAGTTCATCGTATCACCCCGAAACCGACGGACAGACCGAACGGACAAACCAGACCATGGAACAGCTCATTAGGGCCACGTGCGACGATCCAAATACGTGGGAACAGCAACTGCCACTCATCGAATTCGCATACAACAGCGCCCCATCCGCCATGACCCAACAGTCACCATTTTACCTGAATTACGGACAAGACCCAACAGTACCCATGACACCGAATCCCGACAACCCCGTTCCACGCGCACAACAGTTCGCCGAGATTTTGCAAGCAGCACGGACCAGGGCAGCAAAAGCAATCTAAAAATCAAACATCATCGCTAAACGCAACGCTGACCGCCACCGCAGACCTGTCACTTACCAGCCCGATGACCTCGTTTTACTCGACACTCAAAACCTCCGCCTGCCGATCACCCCCAAACTCCGCCCTCGATACTGTGGGCCATTTCGAATTAGCCATATGATAACGCCTGTCACCGCGCACCTCCTCCTCCCTGCTGACTGGTACGTCAGCCCCTCGTTCCACGTCAGCCGGCTTCGCCCCTACGTACCCTCCACAAGCCAACTCCCACACAATCGACCAGCCAGCATGGCACGACCACCAACCGAACCACTCATCACCCCCGACAAAATCCTGAGCCTCAGAGTTCGCGACCCTCGTGGAGCCAGAAAGATCGAGTTCCTGATCCGCTGGAAGGATCGTAAACCCACCGAGGACAACTGGGTTCCCCTGGACAGAATTGAAAACCACCCTGTCCTCACCGAGTATCTGCGTAGCCGAAACTTCAGGGACGTCTACGCACTGTCGTAAGAAGGACCTCCTTAGGAGGGGGGGTAGTGTAAGGAAAATCACTTTTCCTTACTTCGCATCCCTACTTAACGCGTACATCGCTGTAGCACCTCAGTCAGCACCGTTACCACTCGCGATCCTCGCATCGACAATCACCCCGCCATTTTCGCACATCGCACCCCGACCTCACGGCTCGGCTGGTAACCCGCGCTCCGAGCCTCCGCTTCGACACTTTCCCAACCTCAGTCCCAGGCTCGTCGCGCGACAACCACAGTCCATTACCGTTACCACTGTAGTTTCGCTATATAATCTTCGCTCATGCTTTCGCTCATTGTATTCTTGCATCGATAGTGCAATTCTCGTTCGTTCACTCATGTAAGGATTTACATAATCCTTACTGAGGCATTTGTTAGCAAGGCCATCCCCTGGGGTCACTAACTGCCATGTTGAATCCCCTGAAGACGAGCCAGCTCCAAGCTGAAATCAACCTGCTCAGAGCTCTCGATCTCGAGGTCGATGCGGGCAGCCATGCGGTCCTCGTCCTCCCCAAAGAACTCCTCCTTGAGCAGCAGCAGCTCTGCCAGCACACGGCTCATGCCCGAGCGAGACGCCGTGGGCATGGCGGTGCAGGAGAGCGCCAGGCGTGCCATGCGCAGCACCAGGTTGTCCGGTGCTTGCAGGTGCGGGTCCTTGAGGGCCGCCACGTCCCCTACTACCACCAGCGATGCTGCCTGTTCGTGATGATTCGGGGGAGACGAGGGAGGGAGGAGAGGAAGGGAGATTGAAGATTTGTGGCCAAGAGGTAAGGAGATATCATATGGAAAGGAGGAATCATCTTGTGAAAAGGGGTAGAGGGCGCTGCTACGATGGTGGTGGTTGTTGTTTCCACACGCACCCACTGCTTGAGGTTGACTTGGTTGGACTCGATGTTGTAGATGGCCTTGCGAGCCGTGATCACCGCCAGCATCACCACTCCAAAGCTGCAGGCAGGACAGGAAGCATGGCAACAATGAACGGGCAGCAGGGAAGAGAAACATCAAACAGTCAGCAGGAAAAGGAAGGCAACTAGGATAATTAAACCATCTTGTGCCACCAAGCGCCAGACAGGCTGGTCTCGGTATGGGAGATGTGTGAAATGCCATGCATGATATTGCTAATGCATATGCCTGGCTGTATATGCATAACAGAGAGAAAAAGCCAATAACACATGCACACGTGAGTAACACATCATCCACACCTATGCACGTCGGCCTTGGGAGTGGCCTTGTGGGAGCAGTAGTAAGCGGGGTCCACATAGCCCGGCGTGCCCATGACTCGGGTAGCGGCCACAAATGTACCTTCCCCAAGTCGCACCAGCCCAAAGTCAGCGAGCTTGGCGTGCATGCGCGCGTCCAACAGGACGTTTGCGGGCTTGATGTCGCAATGCACGATGCTGAAGCCGTGCAGATACTCCAGCCCGCGCGCCATGCTCGTCAGGATGGCTAACCGCTGCTGCATTGTGAGCGGGTGGGGTGCGCCTGGGAGGAGAAGGTGTGGCAGTTGGGAGTTGGGCAGCTGGGTGTGTTTATGGATGGAACAAGAGCCTCGAATTGCAATGCATTCGAGCCCTTTAGGTTGATAGAATGGATTCCATGAATCGCAATGAGTTTTATGAGCGTTTAGAAAGTAAATGTAGAGAGTAAGGATGTAACAAGGGGTTAGACCATGCATACGTAGTACACAAAAACCACTATTTCGGCTGATGGATTTACCCAAGGGTTGACTAGACTAAGGCAGACACAACTGGATAATCAAGACGAGATACTCCTCCAAGCCTTTTTTTTTTGTCGACTAAACATTTCGCAATATACCTTTTCGAGTCTGTACCATCTTACACTGTCCAATTCACTTGCCTTGGGCCAATCCTTAACAAACCGTGTACCCACTCACCTGGTTCAATCCATCTAACATGTGAAAAAACAACGATCAACCCCAGCTCACCGGGTCTGATCCAGCGGTCGAGGTCGCCATTGGCCATGAACTCATAGACCACGATCTGCTCCATGCGCTCCGCCTCGTAGCTCATGTCAAAGCAGCCACATGCATCATGGACGTACGAGCGACGCCCATGACCATGCCAATGCGGTGCTCAGCAATCCCATTTTGCTGTGTAGAGGCCGGAAGCGTGAAGGTCTGGCGGATGCCCTGTGCACGACAGAAGGCTCCGAGACGGGCAGAGGAAAACTCCCCGCCTCTGTCCGAGTGCAGACGCAGAACAGGAAAGTCCGAGCCGAACCTCTCTCTGAGCTGGAGACGAGCTGCGCGGATCCAGTCGATCAACACCTCAGTGACGTCACCCTTGCTGCGCAAGGGGAAGACTGTGGTGTAACGCGAGTAGTCGTCAACCACCAGAAGGAAGTACCGCTCGTGCCCCTGCCCACTAACGCGGGCGGGGCCCCAAACGTCCATGTGGAGAGTCTGCAGCGGAGCCTCAGTCGTAGGAAACTCGGAGGAGTGAGGGGTGGCGCGCTGTCGCCCCTCGACACAGAGGATGCAGGTAGGGCCAGGCCCCGGAGGTAGGGGAGGGAGAGACCGAGGGAGACCAGAGTCAAGGACACGGGAGGCCATGCCTCGGAGACGAGGCAAGGAGGGGTGACCAAGGCGGTGGTGCCAAAGGAGAGTCTGGTGGGACAGGAGACGACACGAGCAGGGAGCAGATTCAGGACCAGACCTGGACGCTGCAGCAAACACCTGACTTGAAGCAGCTACCTGGCCAGACTCAGCAGCCGGAGGAGACTCAGTAGTAAGGGTGTACAGGCTCGACCCTGGCCGACGGGTGAACGTGGCCAAGTGTCGGCCTGTTCGAGCACACGTGCAGTGGGTCACCCGCTGACTCGCAGGAGTGAACTGGTCAACCCCCCTATCCTGTAGGTCTGCTCCACTCACCAAGTTCGTAGAGAACAAGGGGAGGTAGAGACCTGATAGGGTGCCAGAGGGGGCTGCCGGGCACGGTAAGACAGTGGAGAAGCTAGCAAGGACAGGACCCCCAGAGGGGTCTGCCAGGGAGACTGCAACCGGCCGATTGAGCGGCGTAAGAGTGGTGCGGTCTTGAAAGAAGGAGCGCGACGCACCCGACTCAAGGGTGAAGGTGTGTAAGGTCTAAGCCGACGTAGTACCTGAGAGAGCAGACTCACCAGCACCTGGGGCAGTAGACGCACTAGCACCTGGGGCAGCACACGCACTAGCACCTAGAGCAGCAGCCTCAATGCCTGGGTCAGGCGATACACACAAGTAACAGTCACCCGCACTATCATGAACAGCATACATGGCAGCAAGAATAGCATCAAAATCAAGATCAAAGATAGCAACCCCCGCCCTAGACAGCTCTCCCCAGCGAGGGATCTCAGAGGCCCCAGGGAACTGGTGACGCCACGCGTCCGTCAGGCGGCCGAAGCAGCGCTGGGTGGAGTGCGGGCCCCCGCACTGCTCACCAGCGTGGTCGCCGGTGCGGAGAACGTATGTGCAGGGACCCGTACCCCCACCGCGCTGACGCGCAACGTACCACTCACGAAGCTGCTGAGGGGACAGGGTCTCACGACTGCTCTGCTGCTGCTGGCGCGTACCACCATCGGAGCCACTCCTCTGCGCAGAGGCGCGACCAGGTCCACTGCTGCCACCGCCGCCTTCGCCACCTCCCTCGCCTCCGCCGCCTCCGCTCCCTCCGCCACCGCCGCCGCCTCCTCCGCCTCCACAGCTGCCACCAACACCTCCACCCCCACTACCACTCTGAGCGACGCCTGGCGTACTGAGTTTGGCAACGAGGCTGAGTTCCCGGACTGGGTGGAGCTGCTTGGGCAGAGGGTAGATATATTTTCTCTTGACTATGATGCTATTCTCACTACCATGTATGCATTGCCTACTAGTGCTGACCGTGCCTGTTACCTGTGCGTACCGCTTGACCCAGGTATAGAGCCTGCTGCTCTCGGTGCTGGTGAGGCTGTTGCTCTAGGTGCTAGTGCGTCTCATGCTCTAGGTGCTGGTGAGGCTGCTGCTCCAGGTGCTGGTGAGTCTGCTCTCTTTGGTACTGCGCCTGCTGAGGCCTTGTACACCTTCACACTTGACTCAGGTGCTTCGCGCTCCTTATTTCGCAACAGCACCACCCTCACGCCGCTCAGCCGGCCGGTTCCTGTCTCCCTGGCAGATCCCTCTGGGGGTCCAGTCCTTGCGCACTCCTCCACGGTCCCGCCATGTCCGGCGGTCCCGTCTGGCTCCCTGTCAGGTCTTCACCTCCCCTTGTTCTCTACAAACTTGGTGAGTGGTGCTGACCTCTAGGACCAGTGGGTTGACCAGTTTACTCTTGGAGGGCAGCGCGTGACCCACAGTACGTGCTCTTGGACGGGCCGGCACCTGGCCACGTTTACTCGTGCGCCTGGCTCGAGTTTGTGCACACTGACTACTGTGTCCCCTCAGGTCGCTGCGTCTGCGCCTGCGTCAGGTCAGCTAGCGGCCCTTTGCTTGTGTCGTGCTTTGTCACCACCGCCTTGGTCACCCCTCGGTGCAGCGCCTTCGTAGCATGCACCGCCATGTCCTTGTCTCTGGTCTTCCCAGTGTTCTCCCTCCCCTCCCACCCTTGCCTGCTCCTCCCTGTCTTCTCTGTATCGAGGGGCGGCAGCGCGCCGCTCCTCACTCCTCCTTGTTCCCTCCCATAGAGGCTCCCCTGCAGACTCTCCACCTGAACGTGTGGGGCCCAGCCCGCGTCCGTGGACAGGGCCACGAGCGGTACTTCTTGCTGGTCGTCAACGACTACACGCGTTACACCATGGTCTTCCCCTTGCGCACTAAGGGTGAGGTCCCTAATGTTTTGATCCCTTGGATCCGCACTGCTTGTCTCCAGCTCCCTGAGCCATTCAGGACGGAGTTTCCCGTCCTACGTCTGACTCTGACAGAGGTGGGGATTTTTCCTCCGACTTCTTGGCAGCCTTCTGTGCGGAGCACGGCATCTGCCAGACGTTAACACTTCCGGCCTCTCCGCAGTAAAATGGGGTTGCTGAGCGTCGCATTCGCTTAGTCATGGAGGTCGCTCGTACCTCCATGATCCATGCGGCTGCCCCGCATTTTCTGTGGTCGTTTGCGGTCCGGTACGCTGCGCATCAGCTCAACCTCTGGCCGCGTGTCTCCTTGCCGGAGACCTCGCCCACACTGCTGTGGACGGGGAAGGTTGGCGATGCGTCGCGTTTCCGGGTCTGGGGTGCTCGTGCCTCCTTTGTCCGCGATACCACCGCGGACAAGCTCTCTGCCCACGCTGTTCCCTGTGTCTTCCTTGGCTTTGTCCCTGACACGCCTGGTTGGCAGTTTTACCACCCCACCTCGCGCCATGTCTTCCCCTCTCAGGACGTCACGTTCGACGAGTCAGTTCCCTTTTACTGTCTCTTCCTCTACCGCACTACTCCTCTCCCCCCCCCCCGCTGCTCTTCCTCGCTCCAGGTGCTTCCCAGGTAGACCCCCTCCCCGCTCCTGGTCCTACTCCTTTAGGTGTGTCTCAGGTAGACCCTCCTCCCTTGACTGCACCGATTGAGGTCACTGGTGACTCAAATCCTGCTAAGGGTGGTCCTCCTCGGGGTGCTAAGCCTGGGGGTGCGGAGCCTGGGGGTGCTGAGCCTGGGAGTGCGGAGCCTGGAGATGCGGAGCCTGGGGGTGCGGAGATTGGAGGTGCTGAGCCTGGGCGTGAGGAGTATGGGGGTGCTGAGCCTGGGGGTACTAAGCGTGGGGGTACTGAGTCTGGGGGTGCTGCACGTGGGGGCGCTGAGGCGTCTGGTGAGTAGTCTCCCTGGAGCGGCCGTCTCCGTAGTCGCTCCGCTGGTACCTCGCCGCTGCACTCTCGTCGTCGACTCCCTCTCTCCCCACAGCAGCTGCGTGTGTGGTACGTTGGCCATCCGGGTCGCACTGCTGGGTGCCCTGCTGCGTGAGTTGCTGGAGCTGGTGACTCTGCTACTGGAGTTGTTTCTGCTGGAGGTTCTGGAGCTGCTGCGGGTGCTGGCACTGAGGGTTCTGAGTCTGCTGTTGCGCGGTCTCCTTGGAGTAGCGGCCTTTGTCCCCGTGTGCCTCTCAACTCACAGTAGCTGCACGACTGGTACAGTCGCCGTAAGGGTCGCGCTTCTGGAGCTCGGGGCTCTGCCGCTGGAGGTACTTCTGCTGACATCATTGGAGCTGGGAGTGGTGCTGGTCCCGGAGGTGCTCGTAATGGAGGTACTGGAGCTGGTGGGGCTGGAGGTGCTGAGCCTGAGGGTGCTGCTGCTGGAGACACTGAGGCTGGAGACCCTGGGACTGGAGGTGCCGGTTCTGGGAGTGTTGCTGTCGAGAGTAAAGGGAAGGATGAATTAACTATGGAGAGTTTGGTACAAAAATATAACCTAAGGGGTTGTACCCCAAAGTGAGTACCCCACTAAAGCCTACCCAAACTATAACATATAACAATATGTTTGACACACCCCCATAGGCAAAGTGGGGGAGAACAGAGGGTCACAAGACCAGTCGGGAAGTGCAAAGCAAGCTCAGGGTGGATCGCAACGTCACCACGCATTTTGCGAACATGCAACAGGCCACAAGGCCAGTTCGCATGCGGAGATATATATGTAACAACAATAGCACAGTGTTCTCTACCTACAAGAGCAAGCATGCACGCATATATATAGATCCCTGCCTCCACCACCACCTCCACCGCCCCCGCCAGCCCCTCCAGCGCCCTTGCCCCCCTTGCCCTTGCCGGTGCGGCATCTCCCGCTCGGGACAGACGCAGCGCCGACCGACTCGAAACCAACGAGGTCGGCCGCAGCAGCAGAGGCGACAGAGGGCAAGAGGGGGGAGGGGGAACACCCCTCAAAGACTTGGGTGCGAGGGTCACCACGAGAGGCTCCTATAGCGACAATGCTATTCTCTGCTGCTAGGAGGCCCTTCTTGAGGAGGTCAACGGTGAGAGTGGTGGGGCAAACTGAGAGGAAGTGGTCCCTGACTACGCGGAGAGAGTCAGGGAGCCGGGTGACTATGTAGTAGAGGGTGATGTACATGGGGGGCGGGTTCTTGGCGCATAACTCAGCAGGAAGAGCAGCTTGGTAGCAAGTGTCACTAGTGCGGAGGTGCGTAATGAGGTCAGCGACTGTGGGAAAGACAGCAAGGTCAGGGAAGAGGTACGGTAGCATGAGGCGGCTTAGTGCAGCAGTGGCAGGGGAAGAGTAGCGTGCAACTACAGCGTCGTACAAGGTCTGAGCACTCTTGTACTGGCTAAAGTGTGCACGCTCAGCGGTCGGTAAGTGGCGGCGCACAGCAAGGCGAGCAGCAGCGTCGCGCGTGGCCCACTGTGAGCGAATAGTGGCGTCAGCATCAGCAGCAGGGGCAGGACAGGCACCAAAAGTGAGGTCAAACAGGGAGAGACCATCTGCTCTATCGCACTGTAGGAAAAGCTGCATATCATCTACCCAGACCTCAAAGTCAACTGCCCGACCCTCAGCGTCAAAGATGAGAACACTAGGGGTGGCCATGACAGCAGTAGACAGGCAGTGAGGATAGTGGGGCATGGCAGTGCAGTGGCAGAGGCGCTGCTCTTACCAGGCAAGTGAGGCGGTCCCGGGCAGGCCGACAGGCGGTGGCGCCTCGGCTGCAGTGCGGCTCGGCGGCAAAGGCGGCTCGGCAGCAAAGGCGGCTCGGCGGCTCAGCTGCTCGGTGGCTCGGCGGCTCAGCGGCTCGGCAGGTCGGCGGCTCGGCGGCTTGGCAGCGAAGGCAGCTCGACGGGGCCGTGAAGTGCGGCGTTGATGCCGCTAAGGAGCGGCGATGGGGCCGCTGAAGGGCGGCGACGGGGCCGCTGAAAGGGCGGCAACGGGGTCGCGGAAGGGCGGCGACGGGGCCGCTGAAGGGCGGCGACGGGGCCGCTGAAAGAGCGGCGACGGGGCCGCGGAAAGGGGTGGCGACGGGGCCGCTGAAGGGCGGTGACGGGGCCGCTGAAAGGCGGCGACGGGGCCGCAGCAAGGGGGGGGGGCGACGGGGCCGCTGAAAGGGCGGCGATAGGGCCGCTGAAAGGGCGGCGACGGGTCTGGTGAAAAGGGCGGCAGGTGGGGACGGGGCCGCGAGTGGCCGCTAAGGGGCCGCGAGGGGCCACGAGGGGCCGTGAGGGCGGTGTGACGGGGCCGCGAGGGCGGCACGACGGGGCCGTGAGGACGGCGCGACGGGGCCACTAGGGGCCGTGAGAGAGGCCGCTAGAGGCCACAAGGGGACCGACACGGGGCGCGACTCGGGCAGGGGCCAAGCGCACTCCGGGCAGGAAAAAAAAGGTTGATATTCGGTGGGCTGTAGGAACAGTTCCCACGAGGGAACCTGCTCTATACCATGTGAAGATTAGAACGAGAATGAGTGCATTGAGCAGAAGGAGGAGTACAAGTAGTAAACCCTAAAGTGTTGTACCCCATATGAATTGCCCCACTACAGCCTACAAAGACTATAGCGTATATGCCGGACAGCATGTGTATTTTCAAGGCGTTGAACGCGGAGGGCAAGTGGATCGGGTGTGCGTACGTGAGGTACTACGAAGCAGCCGGGCAGTGTCCCATCACAACGTGTGCCCAATTGTATCCAGCTCGTCAGAATGTGCGGTTCGCAGTGGTGCTGTTGAAGAGCCTCCAGAGGGTTGTACACGTATGCCCATCTTACAGCAACCCACGTGTGCTGCTGGTGAACAAGTTTCTACTCTGCTAGTAATAGGAGTAGGGGCTTTTATCTGGAAATGTGGGATGGGTTTCGGTTATAATAACAGTAGGGGGGAATTGTGGGGTACTGACGTTGAGGGGTGGAGGCGTAGGAGGTAACGGAACTCGAGTGTGGAACAGAATAGGCGGTCGGTCTCATGCTTTGCCCTGTTGTGCATGTTTTGTGGGATTGTGGGAATGTTAAAATGGTTGGAATACATGTAATTTGGTGGGCGGTGTTGGGTTTATGATAATCGCTGTAAGGGATTATGTTAGCCCGGTGTTATATTCGCGTTGACGGTTTGCCGAGTTCATGTTGGTTTTGTAATGCAGGTACACGGTGGTTACGGAATCATATGGGATATGTGGCAGGGGCTATTGGCTCGACATTCGGATTTCAAGTGTTTGTGACTGGCAGTTGCGACCTGTGTGACGTGAACGACATCCGAGAATGCAATTTTTGGCCAATGGAAACTGTCCACATGTGCACCTGGCAAGCATTCGTCAGCGAGCATTTTGGGGCGATTCTGTGTTTGTGGCTGTGTGGAGCCGATACAAGGTAGCACAGCTGGAGGCGAAGCGTACGATTTCGGAATGCGGTGGCCTATTTTGGGGAGGTTCGTCATTTCATCTCCACCTACCCACCCGTCGTTGAGTGTATGCTGGTGGCCAGTATGAGCTCGGTGAAGCCCCCCTTGAAGGACATCATCCAGAAGTTGAAAGTGCACCCCGACGATGTATTTTTGTTTGTGGAGATACCGTTTTTGCCGAGCCGTTTGCCTAAGACCAAGATTCCAGGAAGGACCGGAACCCCGTGCGACCGGATCATAAGTGTGGGCTTCCTATACAATGCGACGGGGACCTGCAGCACGGTGCCCCTTGTGGTTTTGCGCCATGACGAGCGCCCAGAAACTAGGCACAGCGGGGAGCCCGCACCGGCGGTGATTGTGCACTACACGAAGAGTGGGCGGCTCACACCCGAGGTATGTTGGATGATTTTGAGAGTGGACGGTTCCACTGATTTCCCGAATGCAGTAGTGGCATGTTGGTGGTGTTGTTGTACGAAACCTTAACTCGGTGCATGAGCTGTCGTGGCTCCGCGTTGCGCAGGTGTTCACCGAGTTCTTTCAGACGGTCGACGGTGTGCAGCTAAGACGGCTGTGTTCACCTACAACACCGCGCACCGCATTACCGCGAATGACGCGAAGACGACGGTGGAGCACGGTCTGGCGGTGGTGCATTTCACACACACACGCTTTGTGGACCTCACAGACATTGTGCAGTGGTCCAACATGTCGTTTTTGCACGGCGTGGTGGACGCTTTCAAGGCAGAGTATCGTGTTATCCTGATGTGACGAGCGGTGCGATCGAATCTCTTCCACGAGGATTTCGATGTGCCCTTTTCCGTGGTGAATTACGCGGTCATGCTGCTGTGGATGGGCTTGGCCTAGAAGGCGCTGACGGCGGCAACGATGCAAAGGAGCTGGTGGAGGGCGGGATGCGTCCCGGAGTCATGGTGGCCGCTGATGTGGCACCTGCACGGCATGTATTCGGCAGGCATGTACGAGCCGCTTGTCTCTACCACGGCGGACCTCCTGGTGCTGCTACGTGAGTTCCGTGTGCGTCCAGCGTTGTATATGTGCATCAATGGCACTGTGGAGTGTTTGGTCCAGGAAGTGTCTCCATTTACGCTGACCGATGTTGACTCATAGAAGGCATGGGTGGACTATAAGCATGGGGACCCCGACACCATTTAAGTGTTTCTGTCGGATTCAAAGACGAAACCAGAGGAGCCGCTGCTGGAGGGGAGGGTGTCGCTGTGTGCAGTGCTGCAGCCTGGAGTGAAGCAACTAGCATTCTCGTTTGGCTTTGTGGCTTCCACCATTGTGAAGCCCTTCCAGCTGCAAGGGTTACTTCCTCTGTCGTGCAAATAGGCAAGCATATGTCTGATGAGGTGCTTCATATGGGAATGGTGGCGGACCATGACTGTCTGAATGATGAAAGCATTCGGTGGGCGTGGTTGTAGTGATGTTGTGGTGGTAATGATGGCATTCAGTGAACATGGAACATAGCAGGTAGGGTAAATACATTGGCATTGAGCCGTTTGCTGTTTTTGGGCACGTGGCTGGGGAAGAATGGAGATGATGACTCGTAATACCTAGTGAATGTGATCTTGCCGTTGTATTGTCGTTGTCTCATAATCCATGGAATATGTAATCATACGGACGACTTTGGCCTCATATTCTTGTTGTATGGCATCAATAGGTCCCCGTTGTATTCGTTCTGACAAATTTTTATTGTTCCATTTTGTTTTGACATGGTCTGGACTGGACTTCCCACGCCATGCCATCGTGGTCCATTCCATTGTTACAACACACAGAACCACCAGTGCACGATCCTAACTAGCTACCACCACCGTGGGTCACTAGGGGAGGGCGGGGGCCTCTAGGATGCAATAGAGGGGCCTCCCATGGCACTTGCTACCATGGCCGCGTGCACCTCTGTTGCAGCTTCGGAGAGTTGCAGAGTTGGATGTCAGAGACTCCTAGCTTGGTGAACCCATCGTATCGTATGTGCCAGCTGAACTTGCCAATCATTCCCAATTGCATGCTTCCTTGGACTTCTTGGAGGCAGCCAGACGCGTGGCCCAGCTGGTGCTGTGAGAGAGCCAATCCAGACCGTGCCCTGCCTCTCCCAACTTCCCGCATTCCACATTCTGCCCACCTCTTCCCGCCCCTCACACACAGCCCTCGGCCTCTCGCTATCGGAGGACACATTTGCACCATCACAGACCAAATTACACATTCTGAAAAAGGGTACATCCACAGTATTATCCCTCATCCAGGGAGGTTCATCAGTGGTGTTGTTTCAGTTAATTTGCAAGCATTAAGAAATTTAAGCATTAGTGGTCACTCATGATGTTAATAATCTTCATAAGAAACAAACTCTTCCATTCCCATTGTTACTATATGTGTTTCAAGTATACCCTCTCCTCTATGCCACCTCCTAGTTCCAGGGGAACCCTGTGGTCAAAGCAGCTACCAGGGAGATCGGCCGCAGCCCATAATGAATCCATGTGGCCGGTTTCAGTGCAGTAGGACTACAGACATCACCAATAACTGCACCTGCAACATTCTTACCGCTATTGTGCAGCCTTTTGTGCAGATCGAGAATGGAGATGGCTTCAACACATGTGCTTACGGTACATTTAGTGGCAAGTGATATAGTGGTTTCACAGCACTGATTCCACACTGAGTTGTGCCTAGCATTTAGTGGCTTCCACTCTCTCAAGTGGTCTCTCTCCAACCCCTTTTCTTCATATCCGCCCTCTTTACCCATTTTCCCACACCCTTTACGGCTATCTCCCTCTTGTATCCTAATATCCACTGGTTTTTCCGGACATCTCCTCTCTCTTCTTCCCGTCTCTGCCTTGCATTCCACCTGTATGTCACCTATCTGTACTACCCGCCACCCCGGTACATGTATGTATCCCATTTTCTAATGTATGCATCCATTTCTATTCTCTGTACTATCCGCCACCTTGGAACACGTGTGGCAGTGGATGTGTGTGGGTCATACTTCAAGAACCCCTGCTACGTGGGAGCATGCATCAACGATGGAAAGGGCTCCTTCTCCTGCATCTGCCCTCCCAACCATGTGGAAAGCTGAACGATATACGGCTTCTCAACCTGCGATCCAGTTGATGCTATGGCAGGCCAAGTACGTGGCTGTAACTTGCCTGTTGGTCTTGTTTGAAATCGCTCGCACATTATGGTTGTGTTGTGTTATGATGAACTTGCAGCAATGCATCACATTATGCATGCTCTACTGTAACCCAA